AATGTCGAAAAATTTTCAAATTTTCTTTGTTTGGTGTTGAGAAGTCATGACAATTAAGGGTACTTTGATAATTTTATCTCCCAAAGAGGCACTTTAGTCATTTAGCTAGAGATTTTGGGTAAAACAATCAAAATATCCCTAATTATTTTAGCTTTTCATAATTTAAAAAGCTTATAATATGTTTTTAGGAAGTACCTAATTCATATGGAGATTTAAAAGCAATATCTTCAACTACCTAATTCATAAGGAATCTTTTGACTCCTTTCGTGATAATTTAAAAAGCTTATTTTATTTTACCTCTTTTTTTTGGATTTTTGGGACCGCGCCCCATTATTTCCCATCTAATCCAATGACCTTTACTTTTTGTGAGAGAAAGTGTATTTGAAGTTGAAATAGATTCTTAACTAATAAAGATATCTTTGACTTGGTCTGTTATAAATGCTGGTGATTACACGTATCTTTCATTTAATCCTTAGCAAATTGTTGTTATATCATTTTATATATATCATTACAGTACCACTAAATTAATTAAGAAAAAAGTTTATATAAGGTTGCAACCTTTAAATATAGAATTACAGATGCACCTAAAAAATCTATCGAAAAAAGTTATTTTAATGTTGAAAAACCCTTTAATTAATCATCTCGATATCGAAATATATGAATTTGAAAGAAAAAAAAAGAATTCGTGTTTCAAAAATAGTACATCTTGCAACATATTATCTAGACCGTCTATTTTCAAATAGTGCATCTTACAATACATTATCTAGACCGTCCATTTTCAAATAGTGCATCTTACAACACATTATCTAAGACCGTACATTTTCAAGGTTTTCATAGGTTTATAGATCTACTTGATTTTAACTATTTTTTAAATTTAAAAATTTTATTGTAAGATATGAAAATAAATTTTGAGATAATCCTAATAATTTTGTATGATAAAATTTGCAGGTGTGCAGGATTGCTTAAAGTTGCAACTTTATAGAAACCACACTTGTCTTTTACTTTTCCTTTTACTTTTACTTTTATTTTTATTTTTTCTTACCTTCTTATACCACATAAACTTCGGTCTTAATCGATCAAATCCTACAAAAATATTTCGAAGAACTTAAAATGCTATTGCCCATTTAGAGCAATGTTACAAATATACTGAAAATCGTTTTCATCTGTTCCCACCCAGATGCCATTTCAATCTGTGTCAAAACCATAAGGTCTTCATTTTGTTTAATATTTTTAATGCATCATAACCTCCACCGTTGAATACTGGAATTAATATCATCAAAGAAAAAGGGTGTACAATGATGAAATGGCCGACAGCAAGATAAGAGGCCACTACACCTATAACTTAGAAAGAAACAAGGATTTATCATCACAGTTTTTTTCTGGTGGGACTGAAAATAGAAATTAAAAATAAACTAAGTAAAAAATCATCTGAGCCTCTCTTTGAATTATGTATATAAATTAGGATATTCCATCAACTCAATTACCTAAAATTTGTACTGTTATGGAGGATAATGTTTTGATGCTGATCTGCTTATTCAGCTGTAATCACCCTTCCAAAATCAGATAGTCGATAATCTCGACTGCCAAGTTTTTAAAGTCAAATAGTTTTTTTTCCTTTTATCGTTCATTTTAGTTTTATAGATCATCATATTTGCATTATTTTTGGAGATCATCATATTCACATTATTTTTGGAGCTGCAAAATCATGGACAGGAAGCGGAAATGTTTGGAATGACTCAGGGTGTGTTTGTTATCCAAAATTCATGAGAAACAGGTGTGGGCTCATGCTTCCAATGATGCGCACTAACCTTTTCCCGATTTTGAGTTACTGCTTAGCCAAGAAACATTTTGTTTTTAAAAAAAAGTATATAATGGGACTATTTATCTAGGTGGTCACAATTAATCTTGACCAATGGATGTGAAATTGAAGGGCTGCACTTAATCTATTGACCAAACTTAGTTTGGAAAAGTAGGCCATAAAGACCCACAATTTTCCTATATCAATGATTTTCCATGATTATGTTGCCTTCCAAGAAAACAAGGACTGATCCGTCATGGTAACCGACACATAATATGACATATGTTTTCATTTAAAAACTTTCCATGAATTATGCTTATATTGCTTTCCAAGAAAACCAGGATTAATCACTCATGGTAACACAAACATAACATAGACATCTTTTTCATATAAAAACCACCATAACACGCATAAACATGAACTCACATAAACTTAAAAGGAAAGAGAGCACATAGTGAACCAAGCAGTAGTAGGAAACACTTCACATCTCAAGAAAAAGCAGTAGAAGAAGAGTAGGGAAGTCATCTAGAAGAGGTGGTGGTGCTTCTTTCCATGAGCCTCCTCATCTTCCTTCTTGGCCTCCTTCTTCTCATGATGCTCATGGAATGCATAGCCTCCTGCACCCACAGCAATGGCCGCCGCCACCTCCTCCTCGACCTTGTGCTTGTGTTTGTGCTCCGGGTCCTTATCGGCCTTGTGCTTCTCATGCTGTCCAATAAATCCACAAAAACGAGTTAGAAAGAGAGGACTTCAATCGAGAACCAACTTCGACCCGAATAACATCTTCTCTGTGTAAATTTGCACGTTCTTCAAAGAAGAGAGAGAGAGGGGAAGTATACTAAAGTCTTAATTTCTCAAATATGTACTCAACCAAAACAAAAATTGAAATGAACAGCCAGTTCATAATATGCATCTCAATTCTCTATTGTACCAGGGCGTAAGCACCAGCAGCAGTGGCTCCGAGCACGCCAAGGTGCTCCATGTGCTTGTGGTGCTTCTCCTCCTTCTTGTAGTCCTCAAGTGGTTCATCCACCACTACGGCCCCATATGTAGTTGTGTCAGTGTAACCATCTCCGCCATAAGTGGCGGTTTCCGAGTAAGCAGTCACCTCAGCTGGTTGCTCCTCCTCCTTTTTGTGGTGGAAGAGGTGGTGGTGGTGGTGCTTCTCCTCAGACATCTTCCCTTCCACTGAAAATAAAGCTGAAAATTTTTCAGAAAAATCGGACTGAAAAAACTCTATGAAAAAACCTCTGTTAGAAATGGTGGGAGAAAAGGAATGGCGGATCGGTATTTGTAGATGTAGGGAGGGGCGTTTTGGGGATTTTGGATTCGACGGTGTGATGGTCGGTTGAAATTAGCGGAGTTCACGGATCGAAAGCAATTATTATGATGGAGATGGTATCAGAATGCGCTTTATAGTGTAATACATGTAGCATGGTAATAAAATGCTACATGCTGTTCCCGCCGTTCCTGATCATTTGATTTTGGAGATCGGTGATTTTTCCGGTTGGAGTTCCTTGATGAAATAGAAAGGTAAACGGGATGAATGCACGGTGTACTAGCGCTGAAGCACACTGGACACTTACTACTTCGGGAAAGATCATTTTCAAAAGCAATATGGAAAAGGATTATATGCAATGAGACCATTTATTGGATGTATCACAAAGTTTGATAATATTTCTTTTCAACTTTTAGCTTAGTCAATAAAATAACTGCAGTCACTCAATATCACATCCAATGGCAAGATCAATTGTGACCACTTTGTATGACAGATAACTTTATCATATGTAAGACCTTAAGAAAAATAAATTGGGATATTGAGTTCTAAAACACTCATAACTCTCAAAAAATTGGATGGCCTATATTCTAAGGATCATATATAATGAGACTATTTATTTTTTATACAAAGATATCACAATTATTTATAACTATTTGATGTGAAATCAGATAGCTTGGGTATATCACAAAATTCGAAAAAAAAAATTTAAATTTTGAGCTTGGTCAATGGACAGCCACCCAATCTCATATTTAATGGTCAAGATTAATTGTGACCATCTTGTACCAAATATAAATGATCTCATTATATACATATTTTTCCTATATTTTAATATTAGATCTGTCGGTAGGATCTTCTGTTCTTCTTTGCACTTGGCCGTTTTACCACAAGGACTACATATGTCAAATGCTCCCGCAGGAACATGTAATAGTTTTAGCTTCTTTTAAGTGATAATAATACGATAAAAGGAAGAGTTGGGTGGACCACACAAGACCGGCAGCTGTGACTGGTGGACTGTCGGCAAGGGCGCGGCCAATAACTAAGCACGCGCCACGTACACTCTCCCTAGTACAGTGCAGGAAACACAACTCGGAACATAACCCCGGAATAGGGAACCCATTTGGTAACCGGCCGCAACTGGACAAGTCTGGCCGGGCTAAAAAGCATTAAAGTAATATTTAAAATTATAAAAGTAGGGAAAATTATTTTTCTTATTACCAAAATACCGAATATTTTTTATTATTTTTTATTTTTTAAAAACCGAAATGAAATCAATTTCAATTTTTGAATAACTAAAAATTTAAAATTGTTAGTTGTTCAACGACCGTAATTTTTTCTCTATTGTGAATCCTTTGTATATTCTCTCTATACCTTCCTCTCTACATTATACAGGTAAAAATGATTTTTTTTAAACTCTCTCCCTTCACTGTGTCTTTTTTTTTGGTAAGCTTCACCAAGTGTATTTAAAGAGAAATTTGGCCTGGTCTAGATATTCCCATAGCCAGTAGAGCTTGAATTGATGAGAGATCTCTTCTTGAAGGTAGAGCATCATGGGTTGGGTCATCAGCTTTTCATTTTCTTTTGATGTAGGGGGCAATTCTTTTGATGTAGGGAGCAAACTAGTTGTTCCCCTAATTTTATCAAATAATTATGACTTCAGAGAGGTAGAGAGAGAAAAACGCCTTAAGAGAGAGAAAATGTCACAAGATTTTTCCTAATCTCGTAAGCCCTGATATTTCTCATAAATTAAGCGGCACAAACTAGCTGTTCTTCCTAATTTTGTGGGATAATCATGATTGAGAGAGGTAGAGAGAGAATACGCTATAATATTTTTCTTAATCTTCTAGTCTCATAATCCCTGAAATTTTTCCTAAATTTAAGTGCTCAAACTAATTGTTCCCTTTTGATTTTAGGATAACTATGACTTAATCTTCTAGTCTCATAATCCCTGAAATTTCTCTTAAATTTAATTGCTCAAACTAATTGTTCCCTTTTGATTTTAGGATAACTATTACTTTATAAAAGTTGAGAAAATATAGAAAAAATATTTTTAGTTTTCAGTTTTTCAAAAATCCAAATTAATCTGATTTGGGTTTTTTAAAAACCCATAATAAGAAAAATAATGGTAATTTTAATGACACGTGTCAATACCAAGGGCCTGATTGGACCATCATTAAAACGAATTCTTCTCTCGTTTGATTTGCGTTCATTGTTTGATGGACCATGGACTTAAACGCGTTGATGGACCATGGACTTAAACTAGCGTGTACCTTGATAGTGGATCGTTTGATATGCCTTCATTGTTTGTTGGGCCATGGACTTAAACGAGCGTGTACCTTATTAGTGGATCGGATCGGATCGGATCGGACATGACATTGAACAAGTAAGGGGCCATTATGTTCAAAATCAATGCGGTCACCCGTTAAGTGGTTGAATCAGATGGTAAAAAGTACAAAAATAGGTAATAAATTAAAAATATGAAGTAAAACAAAAAAATTCAATTTTATTTCATTAGTCGAGTTGGTCAAAACATACTGGTCAGGTTTTTACTTTCAACCAGACCAATCAAAATTGCTGGTTTGGCCTGTCAAATTAGCCTATCGGGTTTGCTAAGTTGCATACTACCCCAAAAGATCTATATAGGACTATTTTGTCCATCCAAAATCTACTTTGAAATAATCATACTATTATTTTAAAAATATTAAAGGTATGACTATTGCTAGAGTTGAATGTCATAATACGATTCAAATAACTAACTTCAAATAATTGGGATAACGCTCCGATAATAATGATGATGATGAGAAAATATTGAGCTTTCATATTTTATTTTTTTTTTGGATATTTTAACCGTACGAATGGAAGGTACGACATTATATTGAAACATCCACCCCCGTAACCATTGATGCCCCAAACCAGCTCCCAATTTATATATTTAGATTTAACGGTCTAAAAATTTGACAGCTCATCCTTCAATCTCATGAACTGAAATGCTTATAACGTATTTTGTAGTTATGGGTTGTGTTACCATAATCATACATATGAGTATTTACTTAAATTACTCAATATTTTTTAACACTTGATACCCTTACTCACCACGTATTTTGTAGTTATGGGTTGTGTTACCATAATCATACATATGAGTATTTACTTAAATTACTCAATATTTGTTAACACTTGATACCCTTACTCACCATGTAGTAACTTTTTGCTTAGGGGTATTTCAAATAATTAATCATGAATAAATTAAAAAATTTTGATAGAAAGATAATTATTTATTAATTATAGTCAATAATTACATCATCCACATGAGGTAAAACATCACCTGCATGAAACAATCATTACTTATTAAATACTAATAAAGTACCCTTAGTTTCTTATAAAAATATATATTTCATCTCTCTTAATGACGAAAAATGTTGTTGTTCAAAAATTTTATATTACAAAACATAGGGAAATGAGTATAAAAAAATGTTGAGTACATTAGAGAAACAGTCTATATATATATATAGTGCAATTTGTATAAAGCGTAGGCTCTAAACAATCAAATCAGAGCCTACCTTCAAATAATATCGAAAAATGTGATTTTAATATTGAAAATATTTATAATAGCCTTAAAATATATTTTTATATTATTTATAAAGTTTAAAGCTTAAAAAATATTGTAGATCAACAGATCTATGAAAACTTGAAAATCTTGAAAATTGACGGTCCAAAAATGTTTTACAAAATACACTATTTTCAAATCTTGAAATCCATTTTTTTCTCATGTCCATGCATCTTGATGTCGAGATGATCAATTTGAAGATATTTGGGCATCAAAACAACCTCTTCCAATGAAATTTTTGAGGTAGGCTCAATTTTGATTGTTTAGAGCCTCAGCTCTATATATATATATATATATATATATATATATATGGTGTGTTCTATAGTG